ATCACCCACCCTTGGCCACCACCACCCAACCACCCGGCCCGGAGCTGACCTCCAACCCCCCCAAAGCCCCAAAAAATCCCCGTTTCCCGCCGCCTCCGCCCTTGCTATTCCCTAAAAATCCCCCCCCTTCCCTGCCGGACCTGGTGCTTCTGGCGGCGCTTCCGCTCCTGCTCGATCTTCTGCTGCTTCTCCAGCTTCTCGGTGATGCGGGCCTCGCGCAGCGACTGCCGCTTGCTGCGCTTGTAGGCCTTGGCGTTGAGCGCCGTCTCCAGCGCCGTGTCCCGCCGCATGCACACCACCACCTCCTGCCGCAGCTGCAGACCGGCAAAACCGCGCCGGATCAGCCCCCGGGGACGCTCCCGGTGCTCCCGGCGCTCCCAGGGATCCCCCGGTGCTCCTGGTGCTCCCAGCGCTCCCAGTACTCCCAGGGATCCCGGTGCTCTCAGAGATCCCGGCGCTCTCAGAGATCCCAGTCCGCCCAGGGATCCCAGCGCTCCCAGGGGATCCCAGCACTCCCAGGGGATCCCAGTGCTCCCGGTACTCCCAGGGAACCTGGCACTCCCAGGGATCCCGGTGCTCCCAGGGATCCTGACACTCCCAGGGATCCTGACACTCCCAGGGATCCCGGTGCTCCCAGGGATCCTGACACTCCCAGGGATCCTGACACTCCCAGGGGATCCCAGTGCTCCCAGGGATCCTGACACTCCCAGGGATCCCGGTGCTCCCAGGGATCCCAGCACTCCCAGGGATCCTGACACTCCCAGGGATCCTGACACTCCCAGGGATCCTGGTGCTGCCAGCACTCCCAGGGATCCTGGCGCTCCCAGGGATCCTGACACTCCCAGGGATCCCGGTACTCCTGGCGCTCCCAGGGATCCCGGCGCTCCCGGCACTCCCAGAGATCCCAGCACTCCCAGGGGCTCCCAGCACTCCCAGGGATCCTGGTGCTCCTGGTGCTCCCAGTGCTCCCAGCACTCCCAGGGGCTCCCAGCACTCCCAGGGATCCCAGCACTCCCAGGGATCCCGACACTCCCAGGGATCCCAGCACTCCCAGGGGATCCCAGTGCTCCCAGCACTCCCAGGGATCCCAGCACTCCCAGGGATCCCGACACTCCCAGGGATCCCAGCACTCCCAGGGGATCCCAGCACTCCCAGGGGATCCCAGTGCTCCCAGCACTCCCAGCGCTCCCGGCACTCCCAGGGATCCCGGCATTCCCAGGGATCCCAGTGCTCCCAGGGATCCCAGCACTCCCAGGGGATCCCAGTGCTCCCAGCACTCCCAGTGCTCCCGCTGCTCCCAGGGATCCTAGCACTCCCAGGGATCCCGGCGCTCCCAGGAATCCCGGTGCTCCCAGGGATCCCAGTACTCCCAGGGGATCCCAGCACTCCCAGCGCTCCCGGCATTCCCAGGGATCCCGACACTCCCAGGGATCCCAGCACTCCCAGTGCTCCCAGCACTCCCAGTGGATCCCAGCACTCCCAGTGCTCCCGGCACGCCCAGCACTCCCAGGGATCCCGGCATTCCCAGGGATCCCAGTATTCCCAGGGATCCCGGCACTCCCAGTGCTCCCAGTATTCCCAGGGCTCCGGGCGTTCCCGGCGCTCACCTGGCGCTGGAAGTTGAGGAGCCGCAGGGCCTTGAGCTCGATGGTGGCCTTGGTCCGCAGGTCCCCGGCCAAGGAGCCGGGCAGGTTCTCCAGCTCCTGGATGCGGTGGGCGATGCGGGCCTGGAGCCTGACGGGGGGTTTTTCGGGATGAGTTTTTTTCGGGATGAGTTTCGGCTCCGCTCCCGCCCTGGCTCCCGTCAGGAGGGTGCCGGGGAGTCGCCCCGGGAATGGCGGGATGGGATTTGGGGACACCCGGACACGGAGGGGCCGGAGCGTGGCCGGGAGGAATCTCCCAGGAAAATGAACCCCCCCCCCTCATCCCCCTGGATCTCAGGAACAGGGAAAACGGGATGGGGGCACCGGTGACCCACGGAGGGCCGAGACTCCGGGAGCAGCCCTTGGAATGTCCCACTTTTCCCCAACTACGGCTCCCGGGGCAAGGAATCCCTGGAATCCCTGTACTCCTGGGGCAGGGGATCCCTGGAATCCCTGGCATATCCCTTTATTTCCTGCACTCCCTGGGATCCCTGTACTCCCTGCACTCCCTGGGATCCCTGTACTCCCTGTATTCCCTGGGATCCCTGTACTCCCTGTATTCCCTGCCCTCCCCAGGACCCCCGGAACCCCCTGTCCCCGCATTCCCACCTGTACTCCCCGTATTCCCTGTATTCCCTGGGATCCCTGCCCTCCCCAGGACCCCCGGAACCCCCCGGGAACACCGTGGTCCCACCTGTACTCCCTGTATTCCCCAGGATCCCTGTATTCCCAGGTATCCCTGCCCTCCCCAGAACCCCCGGGAACACCATGGTCCCACCTGTACTCCCTGCATTCCCTGGGATCCCTGTACTCCCTGTATTCCCTGGGATCCCTGTACTCCCTGCATTCCCTGGGATCCCTGTACTCCCTGTACTCCCTGTATTCCCTGCCCTCCCCAGGACCCCCGGAACCCCCTGTCCCCGCATTCCCACCTGTACTCCCCGTATTCCCTGTATTCCCTGGGATCCCTGCCCTCCCCAGGACCCCCGGAACCCCCCCGGAGCCCCCCATCCCACCGCCATCCCACCTGTACTCCCTGTATTCCCAGGTATCCCTGCCCTCCCCAGGACCCCCAGAACCCCCCCGGAACCCCCGTCCCCACGTTCCCACCTGTACTCCCCATATTCCCTGTATTCCCGGGGATCCCTGTACTCTCTGCATTCCCCAGGTATCCCTGCCCTCCCCAGGACCCCCCGGACGCCCATCCCACCTGTACTCCCTGTATTCCCAGGTATCCCTGCCCTCCCCAGGACCCCCAGAACCCCCCCGGAACCCCCGTCCCCACGTTCCCACCTGTACTCCCCATATTCCCTGTATTCCCCAGGGATCCCTGCCCTCCCCAGGACCCCCCGGAACGCCATCCCACCTGTACTCCCTGCATTCCCCAGGGATCCCTGCCCTCCCCAGGACCCCCCGTCCCTGCATTCCCACCTGTACTCCCTGTATTCCCCAGGATCCCTGTACTCTCTGCATTCCCCATATTCCCTGCCCTCCCCAGGACCCCCAGAACCCCCCCGGAACCCCCATCCCCACGTTCCCACCTGTACTCCCCATATTCCCTGCCCTCCCCAGGACCCCCGGAACCCCCCCAGGACCCCCCGGAACGCCATCCTACCTGTACTCCCTGCATTCCCCAGGATCCCTGTACTCCCTGTATTCCCTGGGATCCCTGCCCTCCCCAGGACCCCTGGAACCCCCCGTCCCCACGTTCCCACCTGTACTCCCCATATTCCCTGTATTCCCCGGGATCCCTGCCCTCCCCAGGACCCCCGGAACCCCCCCAGGACCCCCCGGAACGCCATCCCACCTGTACTCCCTGTATTCCCAGGTATCCTTGCCCTCCCCAGGACCCTGGAAACCACCGTACCCACGTTCCCACCTGTACTCCCTGTATTCCCTGGGATCCCTGTACTCCCTGTATTCCCAGGTATCCCTGCCCTCCCCAGGACCCCCGGAACGCCATCCCACCTGTACTCCCTCTCCTGCAGGATCTCGACGGGGTCGAGGCCGCGCGGTTTCTGGATGGGGGTGATGCGGTTCTGTTTGGGGTGCATGGGCAGGGCGGGCGGCGCCGGCTGCCCCGGCGAGGGCGGGGGGGGCCCGGGGGACGCGGGGGGCACGGCGGGCGGGGCGGGGGACGGGCGGCCCGCGGGGGGGGGCGGCAGCAGCTTCTGGGGGGCCCCGCCCGGCGCCGCCGCCGACAGCGGCCCTGCGGGAACAGCGGGAACGGCCGGGAGTCACCTCCGGGAACGGGGTGGGGATTCACACCCCCCCCTGCTCCCCTGAAACCCGGGTATGGGGCTGGAAAGGAACCCCCAAATTCCTAAAAGCATCGGTTATCCAGCTGGAAAATAACCCCAAATCCCTGAAAAACACCAGTTATCCGGGTAGAAATTAACCCCCAAATCCCTAAAAGCATCAGTTATCCGGGTAGAAATTAACCCCCAAATCCCTAAAAACACCAGTTATCCACCTGGAAAGTAACCCCAAATCCCTGAAAAACACCAGTTATCCGGGTAGAAATTAACCCCCAAATCCCTGAAAAACACCAGTTATCTGGGTAGAAATTAACCCCAAATCCCTGAAAAACACCAGTTATCCGGGTAGAAATTAACCCCAAATCCCTGAAAAACACCAGTTATCCGGGTAGAAATTAACCCCCAAATCCCTGAAAAACACCAGTTATCCGGGTAGAAATTAACCCCCAAATCCCTGAAAAACACCAGTTATCCGGGTAGAAATTAACCCCCAAATCCCTGAAAAACACCAGTTATCCGGGTAGAAATTAACCCCCAAATCCCTGAAAAACACCAGTTATCTGGGTAGAAATTAACCCCCAAATCCCTGAAAAACACCAGTTATCTGGGTAGAAATTAACCCCCAAATCCCTGAAAAACACCAGTTATCCGGGTAGAAATTAACCCCCAAATCCCTCTCTCTTAAAAACAACAGTTATCCGACTGGAAATTAACCCCAAATTCCTAAAAATCACCAGTTATCTGGCCAGAATTTACCCCCAATTCCCTAAAAAACACCAGTTATCCACCTGGAAAGTAACCCCAAATCCCTAAAAATCACCAGCTGTTTAGGGGGAAATTAACCCCCAAATCCCTAAAAATCACCAGTTATCCGGTTGGAATTTACCCCCAAAACTCCAGTTATCCGGCTGGAAATTAACCCCCAAATCCCTAAAAATCACCAATTATCCGGTTGGAATTTACACCCAAAATTCTAGTTATTTGGCTGGAAACAAACAGCAATTCCCTAAAAAACAGGCCAGCTGTTTGGCTGGAAATTAACCCCCAAATCCCTAAAAAACAACAGTTATCTAGTTGGAATTTACACCCAAAATTCCAGTTATTTGGCTGGAAACAAACATCAATTCCCTAAAAAACAGCAGCTGTTTGGCTGGAAATAAATCCCCAATCCCTAAAAAACAACAGTTATCCGACTGGAAATTAACCCCAAATTCCTAAAAATCACCAGTTATCTGGCCAGAATTTACCCCCAATTCCCTAAAAAACACCAGTTATCCACCTGGAAAGTAACCCCAAATCCCTAAAAATCACCAGCTGTTTAGGGGGAAATTAACCCCCAAATCCCTAAAAATCACCAGTTATCCGGTTGGAATTTACCCCCAAAACTCCAGTTATCCGGCTGGAAATTAACCCCCAATCCCTAAAAATCACCAATTATCCGGTTGGAATTTACACCCAAAATTCTAGTTATTTGGCTGGAAATTAATCTAAAATCCCTAAAAACCACCAGTTATCCACCTGGAAAGTAACCTCAAATTCCCTAAAAAATACCAGTTATCCGGTTGGAATTCACATCCAAAATTCCATTGATTTGGCTGGAACTTAATCTCCAATCCCTAAAAAACACCAGTTACCTGATTGGAATCTACCCCCAAAACTCCAGTTATTTGGCTGCAAATAAACATCAATTCCCTAAAAAACACCAGCTGTTTGGCTGGAAATTTAACCCCAATCCCTTAAAAAACATCAGTTCTCCAGCTGGAAATTCCCCCCCCTCCTCCCAAAACTCCAATTATTTGGCTGGAAATGAACAGCAACAATAAACCACAATTCCATAAAAACCCGCAGTTGTTTGACTGGGACTTACCTCCAATTCCCTAAAAAAACAGCAGTTGTTAGGCTGGAATTTACCCCCAAAACTCCACTTATTTGGCTGGAAATACCTCCCGTTGTCAGGCTGGAAATCAACCCCAATTCCCAAAAAACCCTCCAATCCTTTGGCTGGGAAATCAACCCCAATTCCCAAAAAACCCTCCAATCCTTTGGCTGGTGAAATCAACCCCAATTCCCAAAAAAACCCTCCAACTCTTTGGCTGGGAAATCAACCCCAATTCCCAAAAAAACCCTCCAACTCTTTGGCTGGGAAATCAACCCCAATTCCCAAAAAACCCTCCAATCCTTTGGCTGGGAAATCAACCCCAATTCTTGGAATGAACACGTGGATCCTCGGAAAGCTCCAACCCCGAGGTCCAACCCGCCCTTCCCAGAATTCCAGCCCCGATTCCAGGGGTTTAACCGGGAATTCCCTTGGCTCCCACCCTCCCAGCTCATCCCTTGCTGGCGGATCTGGGCTGAATTCCCAGGATTTCGGGGCTCACCTTCCGGCCAGGGCTTGGGGGGGCCCCCGGGGGGCTGTCCCGGCATTCCGGGGGGAACTCCTGAGGGGCCGGGCGGGGGCATGTTGGGCCCTCCCATTCCTGGGAATTCCCAACAGAGCCGGCAGAAAAGGGAAACAAAACAAAAAAAAGGAAAATCCCATGAGGAAGCTGATTCCCGGGGGAGATTCCCGGGGGGAGATTCCGGGGGGAGATTCCCGGGGGGAGATTCCGGGGGGAGATTCCCGGGGGGAGATTCCCAGCGGGAATCCAGTGGGGATGAGGAGGAGGACACCCGGGATGGAACGGGATGAGCTTTGGGGTCCCTTCCCGTGGATCCCCCAGGATGGAACGGGATGAGCTCCCCACAGACACCCCAGGACAAGCTCCCCATGGATATCCTGGGACGAGCTCCCCTTGGATCCCCCATCCCAATTTCCCCCCACTTCCCCCTGTATTCCCCATTCTGATCTCCCCCTGCATCCCCCATCCCAATTTCCCCCCAGATCCCCCATTCCCATCTCCCCTCTGGATTCCCTGTTCCAATCTCCCCCTGTACCCCCCGTCCCAATCTCCCCCAGCTCCCCCTGGATCCCCCATCCCAATTTCCCCCCAGTTCCCCCTGGATCCCCCATCCCAATCTTCCCCCAGGTCCCCCTGGATCCCCCATTTCAATGTCCCCCTGGATCCCTCATCTCAATTTCTCCCCAGATCCCCCATTCCAATCTCCCCTTGCGTTCCCCATTCCCACATCCCAATTCTCCCATCCCAATTTCCCCTCAGACCCCCCTGGATCCCCCATTCCGATCTCCCCTCAGACCCCCCATTCTGATGTCCCCCTGTATTCCCCATTCCAATTTCCCCCCAGATCCCCCATTCCCATCTCCCCTCTGGATTCCCTGTTCCAATCTCCTCCTGGATCCCCCATCCCAATTTCTCCCCAGATCCCTCTGGATCCCCCATTCCCATCTCCCCTTGCATCCCCCATCCCAATCTCCCCCATTCCCATCCCCATTCCCGTTCCCACTCCCTCACCATGAGGTCTGGAGTATCCGGGCGGTGCCGGACCCGCTCTGCCCGGATCCCCCATCCCAATCTCCACCATCCCCATCCCCATCCCAATCTCCCCCATTCCCATCCCCATCCCCACTCCCTCACCGTGAGGTCTGGAGTACCCGGGCGGTGCCGACCCCGCTCCAGGCGCAGTTCCGGCGGCCTGGATCCCCCATCCCAATCTCTCCCATCCCAATCTCCCCCATTCCCATTCCCATTCCCACTCCCTCACCGTGAGGTCTGGAGTATCCAGGTGGTGCCGGCCCCGCTCTGCCCGGATCCCCCATCCCAATCTCCCCCATTCCCATCCCCATTCCCATCCCCTCACCGTGAGGTCTGGAGTATCCGGGCGGTGCCGGCCCTGCTCCGGGCACGGCTCCCACTGCCCAGATCTCCCATCCCAATCTCCCCCTGGATCCCCCATCCCAATCTCCCCCATTCCCATCCCCTCTCCCTCACCATGAGCTCTGGAGTATCCGGGCGGTGCCGGCCCCGCTCTGCCCGGATCCCCCATCCCAATCTCCCCCATTCCCATTCCCATTCCCACTCCCTCATCGTGAGCTCTGGAGTATCCGGGTGGTGCTGGCCCCGCTCCGGGTGTGGCTCCCACTTCCTGGATCCCCCATCCCAATCTCCCTCTGGATCCCCCATCCCAATCTCCCCCTGGATCCCCCATCCCAATCTCCCCCATTCCCATTCCCACTCCCTCACCATGAGGTCTGGAGTATCCAGGTGGTGCCGGCCCCGCTCCGGGCGCGGTTCCGGCGGCCTGGATCCCCTATCCCAATCTCCCCCATCCCCACTCCCATCCCCATCCCCATCCCCTCACCGTGAGGTCTGGAGTATCCGGGTGGTGCCGGCCCCGCTCTGCCCGGATCCCCCATCCCAATCTCCCCCATTCCCATCCCCATCCCCATCCCCTCACCGTGAGGTCTGGAGTATCCGGGCGGTGCCGGCCCCGCTCTGGGCACGGCTCCCACAGCCCGGATCCCCCATCCCAATCTCCCCCATCCCAATCTCCCCCATTCCCATCCCCATTCCCATCCCCATCCCCTCACCGTGAGGTCTGGAGTATCCGGGCGGTGCCGGCCCCGCTCCGGGCGCGGTTCCGGCGGCCTGGGCGGCTCCGGCGGGCGGAGGTAGAGCGGGAATCTGGGGCTGCATCCCGGGCAGGGGCCGCTTTCCCTGCACGGCCACCTGGAGGTGCTCGGGGAGGGGCTGCCCCCGGGCCAGCAGCTTGTAGGCCATGATCTGGGCCCGCAGCTGGTGCAGCTGCGCCGCGTTGAACGGCGACGCGGCCCCGCGCCCGCCCGGGCCCAGCGCCGGGGCCTCCGCGCCGGAGCCGCCGCCGGAGCCCTCCAGGGACCCCCCGGAGCTGCCCCCGGAGCCCCCCGAGGGGCCGTTGGAGGGCACCGGGCTGGAGGCGTGTTCCGAGCCCCCCAAGGGCGACGGGTAACCTGGAGAGGGAAGGGGGGGAAAAAAAGGGAGTTGGATCGTCCTGGAATCCACTGGAGGGGATGAAGAGCTCCCAACAGGTCCAGGGGTTGGTCATGGAGGGATGGAATCAGCCCCCAAGTCCAGGGGTTAACCCTGGAGGAACTAAATTATCCCCCTCAAATCCAGGGTTTCATCCTGGAGCGATTGACTAAAGACTCCTCCAAATCCAAGGTTTAGTTGTGGAGGCATGGAATTATCCCCTAAATCCAGGGGTTAGTCATGGAAGGATGGAATCAGCCCCCCCAGGCCCAGGGGTTAACCCTGGAATGATGGAATCAGCCCCTCAAGTCCAGGGGTTAACCCTGGAATGATGGAATCAGCCCTCCCAGATCCAGGGGTTAATAATCCTAGAAGGGTTGAATTATCCCCCTAAATCCCGGATTTAATCCTGGAGTGATCCAATCATTCTCCCAAATCCAGAATTTAACCCTGGAGCGATCCAATCATTCCTCCAAATCCAGAATTTAACCTTGGAGTGATCCAACCATTCCTCCAAATCTGGAATGATCCAATCATTCCCCCAAATCCAGGATTTAATCCTGGAATCCCCTGGAGGGATCCAACCCTCCCCAACCCCCAGGATTTGATCCCGGATACCCCCCTGGAACAATTAACTCCCGCCCCAAAACCCCGGGATTTCAGCCCAGAACAGCGAATTCCCAGGATTTGCCCCCCCCTCCCTCCCTCCCTCCCAGGGGCTCTCCCGGCGCTCCCGACCTTGGGAATGCTGGTCCATGGGGCTGGGGGGGGGTCCCATCCCCGCGTGTGCCCCCGGGCGCAGCCCCATCCCCTTCATGGTCCCGTAACGCGGGTCCTCGGCCAGGCCCTTCTCGTGCAGCGCGTCCAGGGGCTGCCGGGGGGGGGAATTCCCGGGAAATCAGGCCCGCAGGGAGAGAGCCTGGAGCCTTCCCGGGGAATTCCCGGGAAATCAGGCCCACAGGGAGCCAGCCCGGAGCCTTCCCGGGGAATTCCTGGGAAACCAGGCCCACAGGGAGCCAGCCTGGGGCAATTCCCGGGAAATCAGGCCCGCAGGGAGCCAGCCTGGGGCAATTCCCGGGAAATCAGGCCCGCAGGGAGCCAGCCGGGGGGAATTCCCGGGAAATCAGGCCCGCAGGGAGCCAGCCCGGAGCCTTCCCAGAGCTCCCGGCCCCTCCCCGGCCATTGGAGTGGGGTTTGGGGGTCAAAAACTCCCAAAAAGTCTCACACGCAGTGACCTTCCCAGTGCCATCCCAGTGCCCTTCCCACCATCTCCCAGTGCCATCCCACCATCTCCCAGTGCCCTCCCAGCCCTTCCCACCACCTCCCAGTGCCCTCCCAGTGCCATCCCAGCCCTTCCCACCATCTTCCAGTGCCATCCCAGTGCCCTTCCCACCACCTCCCAGTGCCCTCCCAGTGCCACCCAGCCCCTACCACCATCTCCAGTGCCAGCCCACCATCTCCCAGTGCCATCCCAGTGCCATCCCAGCCCTTCCCACCATCTCCCAGTGCCATCCCAAGTGCCATCCCAAAGGCTCCTCCCACCATATCCGTGCCCCTCCCAGAGTGCCATCCCAGTGCCATCCCACCATTCTCAGTGCCCTCCAGTGCCATGCCAAGCCCCTCCCAACCATCTCCCGTGACCCTCCCAGTGCCATCCCAGCCTCTTCCCACCATTCCCAGTGCACAACTAACAGTGACACTGCTCCAGCCCTACCACCATCTCCCCGGCCCTTCCCAGGGCCATCCCAGCCCTTCCCACCATCTCCCAGTGCCCTCCCAGTGCCATCCCAGCCCTTCCCACCATCTCCCAGTGCCCTCCCAGCCCTTCCCACCATCTCCCAGTGCCATCCCAGCCCCTCCCAGTGCCCTCCCAGCCCTTCCCAGTGCCATCCTGGCCCTTCCCACTATGTCCCAGTGCCATCCCAGCCCCTCCCAGTGCCCTCCCATCACCTCCCAGTGCCCTGCCAGCCCTTCCCACCATCTCCCAGTGCTATCCCAGCCCTTCCCAGTGCCCTCCCAGGGGAACAAATCCCGGGAAGCCCAGCTGGAGCATTCCCAGGGGCTGGAGCCGGGATTTGGGGCTGGGCTCACCTTGTGCAGGGGGTGGATGGACTCCGGGGCGTATCCCGGCGCCGGGAGGTGTCCGGAGTGTCCCGAGTGTCCGGAGCCCGGCGAGGGGCCGGGGGAGGGGCCCAACATGGATCCTGGGGAGGGGCCGGGGCCGGGAGAGGGGCCGGGCCGGGGGGTCCCGCCCAGGGGGGGCTCCGGAGTCGCCATCTCAGAGCTGGAGCCGGGAAGGGGCGCCTGGAGCTGCACCTGGAACGGGGGGAGGGCTGGGAACGGACCCCGGGATCCGAGGGAAGGAGGGATGGGGGGAAACCCCTCCCTGACCCAGGAACAGGGGGCAAGAGACCCCCCCCTTCCTCCTTCCAGGCACCAGGAATTCCCTTCCCAATCCAGCCTCAGGCACCAGGAATTCCCTTCCCAATCCATCCTCAGGCACCAGGAATTCCCTTCCCAATCCAGCCTCAATCACCAGGAATTCCCTTCCCAATCCAGCCTCAGGCACCAGGAATTCCCTTCCCAATCCATCCCTGAGGCACCAGGAATTCCCTTCCCAATCCAGCCTCAATTACCAGGAATTCCCTTCCCAATCCAGCCTCAATCACCAGGAATTCCCTTCCCAATCCATCCTCAGGCACCAGGAATTCCCTTCCCAATCCAGCCTCAATCACCAGGAATTCCCTTCCCAATCCATCCTCAGGCACCAGGAATTCCCTTCCCAATCCATCCTCAGGCACCAGGAATTCCCTTCCCAATCCATCCTCAGGCACCAGGAATTCCCTTCCCAATCCAGCCTCAATCACCAGGAATTCCCTTCCCAATCCACCTCTAAGGCACCAGGAATTCCGCCCCTGAACCCATTATCCAGGAATAAGAGCAAGGCCACCCCCTTCCCAATCCCTCATTCCGGAAGGAAAGATGGGAATCTCCCCCCAAACCATCCCGGAGGGATGTGGGATGAGACCCCCCTTCCCAAATCCACGCCCGGGAACCCGGGAATGCCCTTCCCGACGCCCTGCTGAGGAACCAGGAACACGGGACCCGCTCCCAAATCCATCCCCAGGGGATCAGGGATCGGGAATTCCCCCTTCCCAACCCATCCCCGAGGAACAGGGAGCGGGAATCCGGATCCCAAATCCACGGCCGAGGCACCAGGGGCGGGAATCTCCTTCCAAACCATCCCTCAGAAACTACTCCGGCTTAAAATTCCCACATTTCCCAGGAAGGGACATTCTGTGGCCGTGGCATCCCGGGATTGCTGCCTCGGAATCCCGGGAAACGGGAACAAACCCAGGGATGGTTTTCCCTCCCAGTTTTCCCCATTCCGGCTGTTCCAGCACTGGGAAAATTCCCATTTCCTGGGGCCTGGATCCCCCCCGGGAGGGATTTATCCCAGTTTGAGCCAATCCAGCCCTTGGGAATCTCCTTCCTCCCACCCCCAGGGGCTGCAGGAGCCGTTCCCATCCCTCTCCCAACATTCCCGTCCCTCTCCCAACATTCCCACCCCTCTCCCAACATTCCCGTCCCTCTCCCAATTCCCGTCCCTCTCCCAACATTCCCGTCCCTGTCGCCCCACCGGCCTCACCACGCGTCCCAACAGCACGCGGCCCGCGCCCCACATGGCCCAGCCGTCCCAACATTCCCGTCCCTCTCCCCACATTCCCGTCCCTCTCCCAACATTCCCACCCCTCTCCCAACATTCCCGTTCCTCTCCCAACATTCCCGTCCCTCTCCCAACATCCCCGTCCCTCTCCCAACATTCCCACCCCTCTCCCAACATTCCCATCCCTTTCCCAACATTCCCGTCCCTCTCCCAACATCCCCGTCCCCCTCCCAACATTCCCACCCCTCTCCCAACATCCCCGTCCCTCTCCCAACATTCCCACCCCTCTCCCAACATCCCCATCCCCCTCCCAACATCCCCCTCCCAACATTCCCGTCCCTCTCCCAACATTCCCATCCCTCTCCCAATTCCCGTCCCTCTCCCAACATTCCCGTCCCTCTCCCAATTCCCGTCCCCCTCCCAACATTCCCACCCCTCTCCCACCAGGGAAACAGGGATTAGCCAAGTGGTTTCCCAGGAAACAGAGGGATTTGCTTCCCCTTGGATCCCGTTTTCCCAGGAAAACCCCAAACCGGCCCAATCCCAGGAAAACCGGGGGAGGAATTTTTAACCCTCCCTCCTTCCCGCGGGAATTCCATCCCTAATTCCAAGGGAAAGCCGGCAGGTCTAAGGGAACGATTCCCACGGGATGGCACTTCCCAAATCCCGGGGGGGGGGGGGGGAATTCCCGAATTCCGGCACCTACCTACGGGCATGGGGGGCTCCGACACCTCCAGACGGGATCGGCTCCTAATGCTGGGCTGGGGGGGAAAACCGGGAATGAGTCGGGAATGCCGGGAACCGGTCGGGAATGTCGGGAATTAGGTCGGGAATGGCGGCGCCGGGAGCGCAGGGAAGGGTCCTGGGCAGCGCCGGCAGAGCACGAGGCTCCCAAAAACGGGAATTTCCTCCCGGATTTGAGGGGTTCTCGGGGAATTCGAGAGCGAGGAAACGCTCCCGGAGCCGCGAAGAATCCATTAAAAAATTCCCGAGGGATTATTCCCGGAGGCGGCGGATTCCACCTGCTCCGGCAGCAGCACCACGGCATCTTCCCGGGATTTTCCCGGGATTTCTGGATAAAAGGACCCCCCACACACCGGATTCCAGGCGGGGAATCCTTAATTCCCGAAATCCAGGAGGGAAAAAAACCCCCTTCCTTAAAAAAGGAATTAATTAAAGGGGATTGATCCCATTAATGAGAGGGGGGGATTTTCCCGTTTCTGAAGGGGTTTGGAAAGGGAGAATCCGGGAGGGATTTTGGGAGGGGGGTGTGGAAATAGGAAAGTGGGAATGGGAATGGGAAAATAAGTCGGGAAAGGGGGAACGGGAGCAGGCTCATAAATCTTAATTAAGTCCCTTAATTAGCCCCCTCCCGGCTCCGGGAGCAGGAAAATGGATTATTCCATTATTCCAGCCGTGGGAAAAAGGGGGGAGGAGGGAGGAGAAATGGAACGGGATAAATCCCACTCCCACCCCCCCAAAATTCGGGAAGGGGGAGCGGAGGAGCCCCCCGGGATCGAGGGGGGGGGGGGTTTGGTGTCCTCGGGAAGGACAAAGAGGGAATCGCTCCGGGAGGATCCAGGAGGGAAAGGGAAGGGCTGGACTTGGGGGGGGGGGGAACATCCCTCTTTTGAGGGGGGGGCTGGAGGAGAGGGAGGGAAAAAGAGGGGGAGAGGGAGGAGAAATTCGGGGGCTGGAAAGGGAGGGGGCTGAAAAAGGGGAGGTGGAAATGGGGGAGATTAAGGGAGGGTGGAAAAAGGGGGGAAATGGGGGGGCTGGAAAAGGGGGGGGCGGTGCTGGGGGGGAGGGAAGGAGAAGGGGGACGGGGGAGAAAGGGGGATTTAGGGGGCTTGGAAGGGGGGGAAAGGGGGGCCTTGGGGGGGTCTGGGGGTCAAGGGGAGCCGATTTGGGGGCGGGAAGGGGAACGGGGGGGGTCAATGGGGGGCCCCCCCGGTCCCGAACAAAGGCCCGTGACCCTCGCGGGCCGCCGTACCCGCCCGCGCGCCCCCGCCGGGCCTTACCGGGGCCGGGCCCCTCGGCGGAAGCCTCGGCGGAGCCCTCGGCTGGGCCCATGGCGGGCGGATCCCGCCGCGATCCCGAACCCGATCCCGGCGGGGGAAACAAAGGAGCCGCCGGAGCCGCCGGAGCCGCCGCCGCCTCAGGGAGAGTCCGCACTGCGCCTGCGCCGCCCGACCCCGCGCCGCGCCCCGCCCGCCGCGCCCGAACGACCAATGGCGCGGCGGCCCCGCGCCGGGGCGGCCAATCGGCGGCGGGGACGCGGGCGCGAGCGCGGCCGCCCCGCCCGCCCCCCGAGGGCCCAGCCAATGGGGGCGCGGCGCGCCGGCCCCCCCACCCCGCGAGGAAAAGATGGGAGGGGGGAGCGAGGCCGCGCCCACCCGCGCCGCGGCGGCCAATGGGAGGCGCGCTCGCCGCGTTGCCCCGCCCCCGCCGTCTCGCTCCTGTCAGTCATCCGCGTTTGTAGCCAATGAGCGCGGGGCTCCCCCGCCGCGGCCAATGGGAGGGCGGGGATATGCCGGGAGGGCGGGGCCCGCGGGCGGTGGAGGGGGGTGATGGCGCGCATGCGCGGAGCGGGCTGCACTGCGGCGGGGGGGAGGGGC